GTGAACGGTGGAACGACCGAAAATATTTTGCCGAGTGCCGCCCTAAGCACTCGGCAAAATTGTTTTTTATTTTGCCGAGTGCCCCGATAAAAAGCACTCGGCAAAGACCCTTTGCCGAGAAAAATTTTACCGAGCGGACTTTGCCGAGCGCTACACTCGACAAAGTCTTTGCCGAGTGCAAAGGGCTCTTTGCCGAGTGTAAAAACACTCGGCAAAGCCGCGGCCTCCAGTAGTGGCTAGTGGAGAACTACTTCTGGACGTGTGGGGTGTTCCATGAGGAGGAATACTCTCGTGCGCGAATGCTGTTTGCCAAGACATTCGGGTTGCTGTCCTTGATGGATGACACGTACGATGTGTATGCTACATTAGAGGAATGCCATATACTCAACGATGCTATACAGAGGTACATATGTATATACTCTCCCAGCTCTAAATTATAAGACGTTTTGGTATTTCTGTTGCTTTAACCATGTATCTAGATATAATAATGTATATCCAGGTACATAGCAAAATCTATGTATCTAGAAAAGTTAAAACATATATTATGTATAATTTGAAATGGAGGGAGTACTATATATAACAGCACATCAACTCAAGCTGGAGGTTTATGCATGACCTGATTAGGTTCTATATATCTCATTACGTGTGTCTTGTCTGCGCGCAGATGGGATGAAACCACTGCTTCCATTCTTCCAGAGTACATGAAAATGTTCTACATCAATCTTGTGAGGAACTTTCAAGAGTTTGAGCATAGTTTGCAGCCAAATGAGAAGTACCGCGTATCCTATGCAAAGCAAGCGGTAAGAAAAGTTATTATACATCGATCAATTAAAGTGTATATTTAAACGTGGTCACCGCCAGTGGAGAGGTCGCTCGTTTCCTCAACGACATCGCTTCGTACAAGAAGGGGAAGAACAAGAAGGACGTGGCAAGCTCCGTGGAATGCTACGCCAAGGAGCATGGCACGTCAGGGGAGGAGGCGGTGACCGCGATCGCGGGGATGGCGGAGCACGCGTGGAGGACGATTAACCGGTCGTGCATGGAGATGGATAGCGCGATGTTGCCGGCCGCGCAGCTGGCGGTGAACCTGACCAAGACGCTGGAGGTCATATACCTTGGCGGCAGAGATGCCTACACCTTTGCTGCCGACCTCAAGGATCTCGTCGTCTCCCTCTTTCTCAACGGCCCTACTGTGTGAACTTTTTTTTTTGTTATTGTATCGATCTTGCACTATGTTGTTTTAGTTATTAGGCTAGTTCCAATGAGAGTTTTCTTCCTATTTAATGAGGCGACACATCAATAAAAATGATGATGTTACGTAGAAATTACGAGGAAAGAGAGGAGATGAGTTTCATTTGGATGAAACCGGCCAGCGTGTACTGTGTTACTAAAACACTTAAAACTGAATAAAACTTCAATGGGTGTACTGTTACCAAAACACTCAAAACTCTAGGTAGCTCCAACAGTATTAAAAAGATCTATAGCTCGTAGAATATTTTATCAATAAAAAGCAGAGAGAATGATAAGCTAGCTCTTCATACAGAGTTAAGCTCACCTGTATCACCGCTGATGTCAGGAGGGCTTTACATGGGATCAGAACTAATTGCAAAGGATAAAACACACGCCTTGCAGCTGATGCCAATTTATTAAAACTTGATGTATTTCTATAATTGATAATAACTCTCACATACAGAATATATCTTCAAATTCATTTGAGTAATTGTTTTACTTGAAATGAGATCTACAAAACAAGACCCATTTTAATATATTTTTGAAATGTTTTTATTTGACCATCAACTTGTGTTGAATGTATAACCTATGGACAAACCATGCTTGTAGCTACTTGTAGCCATTTACAAATCATGACTTGTTGAAGGACCGAGAAAGACGACCAGAGAAGGGATGGGGTGGGGGGGGGTGTTGGTTTGAATGAGAGCCAATCAAAATTTCTTCCGAAATGGCCGTTGTCCCAAACAACACTCCAAAACATGAAATCACACAAGAGCGATGCCCTCGAGCCAACTGGTGTTTGAATGTTCACATCAGCGGAAAACCAAGCGCAACACCAAAACTCCCCGAAACCCGAAAGTGAAGCTCTCAACTTCAACCAAAATGAAGGAAGTGCCCAAACCAAAATCACCTAAACCATCTAGTGGTTTGATGACTTGGAAAAACTTTCTGGGCACCTTAGAAACCCCACGGAAGAGACGGATCGGAGAAACGAGACCAGAAGCTCAAAATACACTGAAAACATGAACCTCCGTGGAAAACCCGGCTAGGTTGGTTATGTAACACGGCTAGGCCGCCTCTACAACACGGCCTGGCCGGCTTTGCCTGCCAACAGCCCAAAATCTTCCTCCCAAAAGTGAAAATCGACCCAAATCAAGTCTGATTGACTCCAAATTTGGTACAGAGGTAGAAGAAGATGTCAAGAAGATATTCCTATAAGATCATGCCCAAAAGATCAAGGGAACTCTGAGGATCTAGAAATCCATGAACCGAGCTAGGGTTTTCTCAACTTTGCTAAAAAATCCCGCCAAATTATGCTCGTGAGGAATCTGACCAAATGGGTTGGTAGATATGTTCTCTAGCCATCCAATTGGTCTCAAATCTGCAGAAAAACAAAATCACCCAAAACGCAAGAGAAGGGGGTTCGGGAGAGGAAAAACCTAAACGATTCGAGAACACAAAGCAAGAACTCAGATATACGAGGAATGGTTGCTTTATTCCTCCACCAACAAGATCTAGTTCTTACATAAGAAAGATTAACACATCAGAGGTCTGATTATCTGCACTGTGGATCTCTACCAGTACAGGCTTAGACTTAGACAGGGAAACTATAAGCCTTAAGCTCTCAAAACTCGGCAGTGGTAATTTCATATCGCTGCTGGGTCAAGCCATGAACCGATAATGATAACCTTAGGCGATAGAGATATCACACTTATTACTTCTGGTTTGTGTCTTGATTCGATAGTGATAGCCTTCACTACCGGGTGGTGGGTGAATAACTTCTCCGGAATTTTCTGAATCATACGGGCTTATGAACCAACGGTAAAAGGCAACATACCCGATAGTGATGGTCTGGCAACCTGTTTGGTGTAGTGCTTAATGATCACGTTTAACACATGAGGTGTTATAGTACAGGTATAAGAGAGAGTGAAGGACAACGAATACATTCTGATTTGTACTTTAATAATTGGATATAAATATAGTTATATATATTTATAAACGATAATGTTGTGGCTAGGAAGTCTGTTTCATCCGGACGCGCGTTGGTGGGCCTTGACGCTAGAACGGCCCAACAGGCAACACTGCCATCCGCACGAAAATAAAAATAAAAAATCACCGCTCGCACCTTCTTCTCGAATTGCCGTTGTTTCATGCGTTTCATCTGTATATTTAATGTGTTTCATCTGTATGTTTCATGTGTTTCATTTGATGTTGCTAAAGGATCTAATGTTGCATATGTTGCAATGGCTACACACGTATGTTTCAAGTGTATGTCCCACATGTTTCATCTATTTTAGATGTATGTTGCAAATGTATGTTCCAAATGTTTCAAACGCATGTCTCATGTGTTTCGTCTAGATGTTGCAATGATTATACAAGTATGTTTCAATAGTAAACTGCATATGTTGCAACGGTCGGACGGATGTTGCAAAGGAGATGAGACATTAGGACTAGGGAAGGGGAACGGCCGAGGCAGAGCGCGGTGGAGGACGGGGGCACGGCGGCGATGGCGCCGCATCGAGGGGAGGAGCGCGGTGTGGCGGGGGAAGGAGCGCGGCGGGCTTGACGCCGGGGGCGCAACCGGGATGGGGATCGTGTTACGGACGGCGGGGGTGCAACCGGGATAGGGATCAAGTCACGGATGGTCGAACGCGGTCACTGGCGTGGGATAGGTCGTGGGGTGGCCGGATGCTATTTCGTCGTTGGCAGGGGATCTGATGCAAGTGCAGGGGTGTGTTCGATGCGAGACGGTTGTAGGCGTCCGAACGCGGGCCTGGGCCGAACGTCTGGGCGCTAGGCCTTCCCATTTATAAATGGCCACGGTGCAAAATCAAAATGCAAGACAACCAAATACTACTGGAAGGTATAAGGCTATGCTAAATTGGATATCCATTAATGCTAGACCCTTATGCAGGCTATCACAACCAACGAGACTTACAGATTTTTAGGAGCACAAAAACATACAGTCGAGTAGTCGACATCATACTTCCAGAGCAGATGCAGATTGCAGCGTGCAGACAAGCGTGCATGTGAGTGGCTGAGTCATGGACATGGCCCATCGTACAAGTGAGCAGGGAGCTTGGGCTCAGGTACGGCCTCAAGCGGGACCATTCGCGGCATGGACAGCCCGAATTTCTCCTCCATGCTCAGGTCGTCCACACCCACGCCGTCGGGGAGCCTCCATGCAAAGGCTTGAAGAAGGTTTGCTAGCATCAGCTGCACCATCTTCATCCCGAGGCCGAGGCCCGGGCACATCCGGCGGCCGGACCCAAACGGCAGGAACTCCAAGTCGTGGCCCTTCACGTCCACTCCGCTCCCGACGAAGCGCTCCGGCCGGAACTCCTCCGAGGCGTCCCCCCACAGAGCAGGGTCGCGGGCAATGGCCCAGACGTTAACGAACACGCGGGTGCCGGCCGGGATATCGTAGGCGCCCACGGAGGTGTCCTCGCGGGACAGCCGGGGCGCGAGCAGCGGCGCGACCGGGTGCACGCGCAAGGTCTCCTTCACCACAGCATCCAGGTACGGGAGGCGCGGGATGTCCTCCTCCGTGACCAGCCTGCCACCGCCGACGACACGGTCCAGCTCGCCCGTGGCCTTGGCCATGGCCTCGGGATTCCTTAGAAGCTCCGAGAGAGCCCACTCGGTGGCGACCGCTGAGGTATCCGCGCCAGCGGCGATGATGTCCTGCCGGCATTCACGCGCGTCGATCGATCATCTCTCTGTGACATATATATACCAGCAGATGGAGTGAAAGAAAGTGAAGTCTTTACCAGAATGAATGCCTTGATGCCATCCCGCTCGATGGGAGCCTCCAGGTTGGCATCGTCAGCGAGCTGTAGCAGCCGGTCCACCATGTCCCTCGGCACAAAGCCCTCGCCCTGTCGCCGTCGCCGCTCACTGTGCTCGACCAGGACGTGCTCGAGCAACGGGTCGATCATTTTGCTCAGTCTCTTCATCCTCTTGATGTACCCCTGCAGGTCCAGAAAGCTGAGCCACGGGATCACGTCCCCGACGTTCACCACGCCGTTGAGGAAGAAGAACTCCTGGATCATCCACCGGAACGCCTCCGGCGGCATCAGCGAGCCGGCGCCGTCGAAGATGTACTTCCTGCCTAGCGCCATGCGCGAGACCACGTTGAAGCTCGCCATGGAGAGGTGGTCCTTGAGCCGCACCACCGCGCCTCCGTCGCGGGACGCGGCCGCCGACACATCCCGCAGCATGCAGCGCACCTCCTCGATGCGGATATGCTCCGTCGATTTGATCCGGGTCGCGCTGAGGAGCTCGTTCTGGTACAGCTTGCGCCCCTGGCGCCAGTACGGACCGTACGGCGCCCACAGCACGTCGGAGCCGTTGTAGAGGATGTGCCTAGCCGAGGCCACGGCGGGGCGGTCGAGGAACGCTAGGTCGTGGGTCTTGAGGAAGAATTTCGCTATGTCGACGGATGAGCCGACGACGACGGGGTAGGAGCCGAACCGCAGCGACATGAGTGGCCCGTACCGCGTGGAGAGCTCGTGCATTGAGCGGTGCGGGAGTGGCCCGATCAGGTTCAGGTTGCCGACCACCGGCCATGGCCGAGGGCCCGGCGGCAGCATGTACTTGCTGGAGCTGGACCACCGCCGGCGAAGGAGCACGGCTACAAGGAACAGCGCCACGCCGATGAGAGAAATCCATGGTACTGGTAGCTCCATAAGAATGTGGTGGACGTGTTTTTGTTTCTACTATGCATTGGAGTAGTCCGCCAGGAGCGGTGGTTTAAGTTATACTCTGCTTCGTCACAAAATAAGTGTCACTACGATACCTACGTCGGTCAAATTTTTCTTAAGTTTAACTATATTTATAGAAAAAATATTAGTAACATTTGCATATTCAAATAAGTTTATAAAAATAGATTCTACGATCTATCTATATTAATTATGTACTATAAATATTAATGTTTTCTTGTATATATTTGATCAAAGTTAAAATCGTTTGACTCTTCGACAAGAGAGAATGATACTTAACTTGGGACGGAGGAAACATACACACACACAATGGGGGCGCTAGTCGAGCTACAGCAATAACTATTTTATGACAGTGACGGGGTCATTTCATACACCACAAATGAACATCACGACAATGTCTTGCCACAACAAAAACGTGATGAGACTCTCATCACATTTGGCCTAAGGGTACCTGTAGGACCGAATATCATGTAGATCATACAAAATTTTGAGCCAGACATACTACTTGTACATGAAAAGACATTTGCTTTGTCTTCGTCGTGATGTCTAGCCGTTGTTGTTGGGTAGTATAATTCTTGATGTATGGTTTATATTTTTTCTCCGCTTCTATAATCTGTTTAGATCCAATGCTCTAAAATTTAGTTGACTAAAGTTAAGAATTAAAATTTTAGACCACTTTAGCTCACTTTGTAGTCTAAATTTTTTTGTGAGATTAACTAAATTTTAGACAACACTTTAGCTTCAAGAGCTAAAGTAAGTGGTCTAAAGTTTAGTGGCTAAACTTTGGACCTTGGCATCCAAACAACACCTATATCTGAGGTGCCTTCCTTTTTTTATTTTTATTTAAGTAATCGATAATTTTGTTATTATTTGACTATAGATAAAAAAAACTTACACTATAAAAAAATACCCTTATACATGACGGTTTACTTTGGTCACAAACAAGAGAAGACAAGAGAAAATGTGTCACAGTTAACTCACCATGACGATCGAAAAAAGGTCATGTATCCCGCGTCATACATTTGTTGGCCCAAATTGAGCCGTCATGGATTGGAATTTGTGTTCGTCATAGAATAGTTGTCTGCATCTTATAACCAGCCCATATCCAAGTCTAAATCCAAACCATAGTGACGAAAAAAAAACATCACAAACCAATGCTAAATCATCACTGCATTAACATGCATCACAACTCATAAGATACACCAAACATTGATTCATTCATGTATTAGCATGTCCCCAACAGTCACATCGGCCTAGCTCACAACCATTTAGTTTGACTATCACAACAACTAAGTTTGAACTTAAAGATTTTATCTCTAGGGAATCTAAAATAACTAAACTTTAGTATCCACCAGCATTCAATTGGCTTGCTGTCCATAAGATGTACTTCTTGAAAATCAAATGAATATAAGATAAGTCAGTGTTGCTAGCAAAGATTCTAAAAAGAAATGTCATCTATTTATTACGAAGCTTTGAAACTAGTTAACTAGTTCAATGCATATATTTTTGAGAGGCCAACAAGCAGAGCATGAGAATCTAAATATGATAGAAACAACTTGTAGATTAAATTTGATATATACACTTATACAGTAATGGACTGAGGTGTTGGCTGACTTGCATCTATGTCTGTTGGTGGCAGCGGCATCATCCCTTGCTAGATTGGAAAGCTAATGTATAAACAGAGAGAAAATTATTTGACTATCCAGTACTTATACATACACTTGAAAAATTGTTATATTTAGAATACTACGGTAGAGATGAAGAGTAAATGACTGAATTTTCTATACCTTCAGACAAGATAGACTCGAATTGGCAATGGCAACCAATCTTCATATTTGCATTAATCTTCATAAACATGTTAATCAACCTTGCTCCTATTGGCCTTGCTATAGGACCTAATAACATAAAACTTGGAATGAATGGAGTAGATAAGAAGCACTTACTTGAACTATGTGTACCTACGTACAAATAACAGAAGATGGATAAGAAGATTGGATACTACATCTCCAAATAAATAAATGGCACGCAGCAACACTATTGATTAGATGTGCTTCACACTGTCAATGGTAAGCAAAGGAAAAGGGTAGAACATATAATTGAGATAATTATCACGCACATGTGCAAAATCATCTAGTAAATTTTAATATTGCAGGTACACTATTAACTACCTCATCAACTAGTAAATTATAGTATAAATACCTGTGTTTATTTGTCATTCCTCAGTCTCTGGATCTTCTTGTTAGCCTTAACCCATTTACTTATCTGTAACATAAAACACAATGGCAAGTGAGTGCAATTGATAACTTTATTTGTACTATAACGTTAATTGTTTACAGAACAGTGCAATTGACAACTTGCTCATACATGTAGGCCACAGACAATTTGAAGATGCCCTTGTATCATTCAAAGACTTGTTATACATACTGCATCCTGTACTATCAAAAATCCAAAGTAGCCGAGCTTCATTACATAACAATGCATCAGTTATCATCATAGCCTCACAAACAAAATGGTGCACCTCACAAATGCAGTATTAATGTTTACCCAAAATGCATCATCCATCTAGTATATCTTTAGATCAAATTAACTGGACAACTACAACATTTCATCCAAGCAATACAATTGATCCAGAGCTAATGGCTTGTATTGATAATTTATACCAAGAAAATGCAAACTTTCATGTTAATGAGAAAATAAGAATTTTGCCCTTATGGGGAGTGGGCTTCGCCCAAATGCCATCAAGTTTGTGGGCTTCGCTGAAATGCCCTTATGAAACGAGTCCAACACGTTATAATGCCATTTTGAGATTTAAGTCCACTTTTAATATTTTTCACCCAAAATTTTAGCTGAGGCCGACCATTTTGCCCCTGAGCTCATTGATCCCTGCCCTGCGCTCTCATCTCTCCCCATGTTCTCTCGCTCGCGGGAAAGGCAGAGCGCCGCCGCCCCAGGCCGCCCCCCACCCCCGCGCCGTGCCCCCGGGCCGAGCCTCGCCGCCGCCATCCGCCCCCAAGACGGCTCCCTGCCCCAGGCGAAGGCGGCCCCAGCCAAGCCGCCCGTCCGCGCCAAGCCGCCGCCGCCGCAACTCCAGGCGGGCGCGCGTCGCGCCCCAGCCAGCGTCTACGCTAGCCCACCGGCCCCGCCACGAGCAGGTCCCCGCTCTCCCCGTCGCTGGATCTGCGGCCGCTGCTCCTGCCCGTCCGGGTGCTCTTCCCTAGGCGAAGGCGCACACGCCATGCTATGGGTGAGGGTTCGTCTAGTTCGCCGTTCATCCCAACAGCTGCCGTTTCTCTGTATCCACTTGGCCCTAGTGGGATCCCCCTGATTCCATGCTCAGAATGTGGTAATAAAGTAGTGGAATGCAAATCCTGGAAGAACAACGACATAATTTTCTTCAAATGCGTAAACTACAATGAATTTGTGAGTATATATTGCTCTGTTGTTTATTGTCATATACAACTGGATGAACTAGGTACTGTGTCATGGTTTGGATAAATAAACTGTGTTATGTATTGTCATTTGCACTGGCAGTGAAGAAATGTCCATTCTTTAGGTGGTTGGAAGAGTACAAGAAAGTAGTCGCAAAGAAGCTTAAAGAATATTTGCTAGCTGCAGTGCCATTAGAAGGTCATGGTGAAACTAAATGTCAAGAAGAAATGAAGCTTAATCGCAGGATTTTTGATGAAGATCGGATCTATCTCAAGATGGACAAGCTTATCGATCTGGTCCAGCTGTTGGTGGTGCTCTGTTTAGTCATGACTGTCATAGTTCTTTTAGGTGTGGTAGTGCTTATTAGCAAATGAAGAAAGATTGTGTTCTAGAACTGTGTCATATCAGTACTGGTGGTCTGTTTAGTAACTGAAGTGTAGAAAAGTCATGGAATGAAGATGTTTTCATGGTTTTGTGCAGGTGCTTACAACGAGACTTTTGGACAGAATTTTGCTTGTGATTGATGAATTTTGTTTATTGTTTGATTGTAATTTTATATCCTCCCTTGCCCTTGAATCTGAGGCTGCCATGTGTAAATGGGGTTGGATGTACGGCCAGCTCTATTTCTATGAATTTTTTTGGAGCTGGTCGCCTGGCTCCAGAAATTTTTAGAGCTGGAGGTGGAGTTGGTCACGAAGCTACATGTGTAGATCAATCGCCAGCCTTTTTCTGATATTGCACAGTGCTCCCCCACTTTAGTGCTGCCTCCACCACCTTGCCTGGATGCTTTGGCGAGATGGGGGCTTGGTAAACTGCAGGTCCATTGTCTGGTAGGGAGATCCGAGCTTTTTAGTGATAAATGGCTATTTTGCAATTTGGACTTTACAGGTCTCTTTGGCTCATTGCCTTGAACTCAACTATCTTTCTGGCTGTTCTTTTTTGGAGTTGGATAGCCTTTCTGCATATTTGTCTGTTGGGATGGCATTGACAAGTATGCCTGGTCATCCCTCTTTCTTCTCCGTCTGCAGCTTCAACACTATATTCCATCCATTTTATACCCTTGTCTTATCCTCAGAGATACGAGCAATCAGATTTAGATATGAACGCAATGCAAAACCTTCTAGCTAACATTCCAGAATTTGGACAGAATTTCAATTGAATTTGGACACAATTTCATGATCACAATAACATTCCAGAAATATAGTAGATTTCATAAAGGTTCACACAATACATAGGATAAGGTCGAGATACAATTTCAGCATCGAGATACATGTCCACGTATATAGGCATTACAGTAGAGTTTTTCAAATGCCAGCTCATACATAGGCATCACAATAGAGCTTTTCAAATTCACATCTCAGTTCGTCTTCAACTTCCTTGAATCAACTTCTTTGCTATTCCCTTCTTTGGTTTTGGTGAAGTTGTAGCCTGCTTGTTTGATGATAAATGATTTACCAATGTACTTGGCCCTTCTCCAAATAGTACAGCAAGTTGGTTGCAACATGAAAGAATTGTAATGGACGGGAGCATTTTCATGA